ACACATTTAAAATGATATGGAAAAATTGGAGAGCACTCAAAGAAGATATGAAGGACTGGTACACAGCCCATCATTTGTGCCCTTGGGCTTGTCTGCACGTAGATTTTATACCATATGCATGAAATACACTGTGCAGCATTGGACGATATGTATGTAGACAGAAATATAGAAAATAACCCAACTATTGATACAGCATAGAAAGCACAGAGCTTTGAGTGCCTATGTGGAGCCATGGTGGCTTCTCCACTCAGAGGGGAGTGTGCCAATTAACTTAGTCTCTTCTAGACAAATTAATATAAAACCTGTGTTTGCACAAGTCCTGGCAGTGAGAGACTAAAGGAATACATTCTGTTCTGTTTAGCAAAGTGGGAAAACACCATTTAATCACCATCTAGGATAATTATTCAGGGAGGTGATATTGGGTGCTAAATGGATCTTTAATTTAGCAATACAAGATCAGCCAGCTGGTAGTTGAAGGAAGACAATTGAAAGGCAATTAACCATTATGCAGCTTAATGGTGCACATGATGGAGTCTCCATCACTTGCTGTATTTATCTCAGGATGGGCTGTGCTTCTGACAGAGCTGTTCTAGTCTAGGCCAATCACGAGTTATTTGGCACAGGATGGGCTTATTCATGCAATTCCTCAGCTTGTTTATTGCAAGAGATGAAAAGGGCTTATGATAACATTTTCTGTGGCTCCTCATCCATGACCCTTTGAGAACAAACTAGTGAAGTTTATGAAATGGGCTCAGATCCAGTTTATCAACCTCACGATGCATCAGTGCAAATCAGTGAATAACTTCATGGCATGGTAGAACACATTACAGCAGTGAGACCATGTCAGCCCTTCTATCTGATCCCCATGACATCCTCTGCAGTAGACCAAGGATTTCTCTCTAGAAATTTAGGCTGAGGGAAGGTCAAGCCATGTTGACTCACCTCAGCCTATCTCCTGGTGGATGCATTATAGTACCTCTGCCTTGAGAAGGTGCAGGAAAACGGTGTTCAAGTGAAGATCAAAGTCATTAAGTCTGCCCACACAGGGGAAAGGTGAGAGCTATACTGAAGGCAATTATAATTTGACTAAGATCTATCTATGTAATGCTGACAAAATACAGGAGATTAACCAGCCTGAAGAAAGCAAACTGAATAAACACTTGCAGCACCTCTGTTGTGAAAATAATGGATGGAAAGTCTGTAAGAGAGCAAAGCAGCAGTGGAGGTCCCTTTGCAAGGCCATCTCTAATATTAGGAATCAGGGTGGAGGTGCTGAAGCAGATCACATTCAAATAATCTATTTTCCTCATCAAGGCCTTACAGCAACCTACAGAGTATGGTCTGGCAGGCATCAGTCTGAGAGCTGAAGAGAAGATTGTCCAGAAGTGCAATGCAGGCAATAGCAATAGCCCACATTGCACTTCTGGATACTGTCAGACCAGCAGTTTCCAAACCGTGCTCAGCAGATTGGTAACTGATACATATGATGGATGAATTTGTGCAAGGGATGACAGTTGTCCCTGCCTGGTAATGGGATGCCTGGATCTTTAGCATCTCTGTTGGGCCCAAGACTCATAAAATGTCAATTACTTGAAGGTTACATATATGCTGCCAAGCAAGTTACAGTGGTATTTTTGCTTTTTACCTGAAAGAGGTTTTCCTTGAATAGTCTCTGCTTCTGTCTTCTCACCAATCCCCTCCATGCCATTACAGATTGCAGCCGTGTTCTCCTCATAGTTCTTGGGGAATAGGAGTGATAGTCGTTTCCGTTTCCAAGTGCCAGTACCTGCTGTTCCTTTTTCTTTGTTCAGACTTCGTGTTGATTTCCTGATGCTTAGCATTTTTTTAATACCTCTTTCCAAAAACCCACTGTCACTGCTATGGAAATTTGGGCTGCTCAGTTCAGAAGCAACCTCTATCTTTTCCTCCCCTGCACTATTTGTTAGAGAGGCTGGTTCTGAGGTCATACTCCTTGAATCCAACTCTGTATCTCTATTCATCTTGTTCTTCAACAAGGAGTTTCCAAACAGGTTGATGATAATCACTGAAACACACAAAACAGTAGGATTAGATGAGGGGTTCATAACAGGGTGCTAGTGTGTCTCCAAAGTCAATCCTGGACTGCAAATCTGGCCCATACCTTTCCTGTGCCTGACACAAGGTCAGAGCAAGTTGTTCTAGCCTGCAGTTACTGGAACAAGCTCTTTATCTACAGGTACCAGGTGCTGGCCAGAATTTAGCTCTGGAAAGCTCAACCTAGGTCCATAAGTCAGGCAAGTGGCAGCTATTTCTCCAGTGCCAAAGAATCCCTAAAGGTCAGAGATGTTGAAATCTGTGTATGTGTACCATTTTGGTTGGTAACAAGGTATGTTTTTGCTGTCTATCTTTCTAGGTGGATTTCCATCCAGGTAGGAACAGCAACCCTTCCTAGGTCTTGCTGAGGTGTTGCCACTTCCTGACGTGCACGCAGCAACTTTGAGTCGTGCTGCTGCTTCTGCCCTGCTCTAGCCTTGACCTGCCTCTGCTGGCGTGAGTGGTCAGCGCTGGGTGGCTGAGCTCTGCCTCAGCCCCTGCCATCAAACCCACGGCAATCTCAGCTCTCCAGATCGTCATGGTTACTAGCTGTACAATGTGATAAAGTTGCTCATCACTCATCCTGCCTCAGAGCACTGCAGCCTGGCATGCTGAGAATGACTGCTTCGAGCACTGAGCAAGCCCCTGTCTCAGGGGATGCTGCAGGAGAAGGCAGATTTCAACTGAAGAGCTTCCGTCAGTGCTCCTGGGCTGCAGTCACATCCCCTGCACTTGCCCAGCTCCTGCCGTGGTGCAGACAGTTTGACTCCCCTCTGCCCACTCTGAGATCTGGCCCAGCTGGCTGGGAAGGGGGCAGAGGGGGAGGTTTTGCCTTCCTTTCCCTCCATTGCACGAGGCTGTCACCGGGTCACCAATTAACAGGGCCTGCTCACGGGGATATTGTGTGCTGCAGGGCTCTGAGAATGGAAAATGCTGTGTTTCACCAGAGCAGGCTCCAGGCAGCTCAGAGATCAGTTTAAATCATTAGAAATAGCTCTTGCTTGAGGTCACCAGGAACTGCGTGACTCTGGTCTGTCCAGCTCACAGTAGCCGGACATTGAAATATGGTTATAGTGAACAAATATGTTGGGACTCTGGAAATACATCTCAGCCTTCCTCAATTTAATCCTTCATTGCATTGCTCAATTTAATCCTTCATTGCCTTTCTCAGGAGCTTGCCCCATCACAGCCCATACAGAAGGTAGGAGGGAGAGGAGGGCACCCCATTTTCCAGGGATTTCAGAGGGAAGAAAGATGGGAAGGAAAGGTAGGAAGGGGTCTGGGTGACTAGCTCAGAACCTGCAAGGAGGGGTCTGTGGCTGGGGGGGAGGAGCAATGATTGAAGGGGTGAGAGAGAGGGCAGGAGGACCCTAAAGTCATGGTCAAGGGAAGAGAAGGGATACACACCCTGGTTCCGACAGAACTGATCCTCTCTGCAGCAAGCTGGGATAAAGCAGGCGTGATCCTCAGAAAGCAAGCACAGCGCCGTGCTGCCAGAAATCCTGGGAGATGTGGTGGTGGGTGGGCAGCTCTGCAGGGCAGGTCCGGGTGAGCTCACCCACCTCAGCTGGCTGGAGCATCAACGCCCACGGCGGCTCTTTCTGAGGGGCTCCCTCCAGGCCTGGCGCCGCTCTCCATTCTCCTTCACCTTCTGGAAAAGTGTGGTTGGAAGTGGGACAAAAAGGCTCGTCCCCACCTGCCTGAGACCTCCAGCACCTTCGTCTGTTTGCTTCCCTGGTGAGACTCCAGCACTGTTTCACTTTCATTATATCGGGCATTTAAAAGAAAGAGAGGGGGTGAGGATAAATGCTGAACGAGCGCCAACAAGGTTAATTATTTACACTGCAGTTTACACTGAGACCAGAGGCTCGACCACAGGGTAAGCTACTGGGCTGAGCTGGAGCAGTGGGGGAAGAAGGATTTTGGCACCTGGTCCTGCCCTGGCAGGGTAGAGCCCCATCGCATC